CATAGCACTACTACACAATTTGTTAAAAAAAGAAAGAAAGGTATTTAGCATCACGGCGGAACAACTTTTACAGGCCAACAACGACAACATGTTGCAACCACCAGAACTGGTATCACAACTCATAGGGAAAATCAAAAGAGTTATTCTCAAATTAAGTAGTTACAACATCGAGCAATCGTCAAGCACATACACCATCACAAAAGTCATGGAACCTGATTCACAAAGCATTCAAACATTTGAGGACATTTCTGCAAAGGTACAACTTATATATATGTCTTTGTTCCAAGCCATTTCCATCAACATGCTAATAAATTTGCAATGCATAAAACAAACGGGCCAAAACTTGAAATTCAACCTGTTTGACCGACCCATGCCAAATTCTAATTATTCTTTACTTTTAAACTTTCTATTTGAAAATAAAAAATAGTGAAAGAATAGAGATGACTACAATTCGCCATTTGCACATTATTTATTCGGGAATAAAACCATAGAAATTCAAAAGGAATTGAAAATGTTTAGGATCGTTTTAATGTTTAAAATAACCAAATAGATCTTTATGTTTAGTTTTTTACTAACAAATACCAAACGATTCCCTATAAAATACACTATAATTTGATCATTATGATGTCAAATAATTATAAAATATATATTTGAAATGATAAAAATTGGACTAATTGGGTTGGTCGAGGTTGAACCATTGAATAACTTTAAAATACATTACATTTTAGCCACTAAGATATAAAATAATAGCATAATATATATTATGCCAGAGAAAATAGCTTGTTTTAGAATGACAAACCAATTATGTTCATTTGTTTTACTTTATGGCCAAATCCCATGTAGGTCAGGCTCATTCAACTCTTTTATTTTATGGTTAGTGGTTAGCCCATTAGATACCATGCATTAGTTTATTGTTAAATTTTTTTATTTTTAACAATAAAAAGGAGTATTATTTTTGCCTTTTCATATATATTTTATCACCACGGAGAAATAAAAGGGTATAATGAAAAATATTGACACTCCTGGACCCGTTTAAATCCGCATGTGTACGGCTTAATAGAATAATCCATTTTAATTCATGTTTATTTTTTAGGGGTGAAATGTGAAATGTGAAATGAGAAAAGAGGGATTCCATTTCAAATTTGATGCGTACAGAGCAATTTTTTAGGGGTAAATTTAGAAGATGCCAGTGCGGTCGGTCTGTTGAGCACGAAAGTAAAAATATGTTTTCATTTAAACGGGCCCAAACTGTTATTTGGCCCACTAATCGTGCACCCATCGCCAATGCAGTCAAATTCGGGATTTTGATCGTAAAATCGTAGGATTTTAGGATTTTACTTAGGGATTCCGATCTTGATTTTACTATAAAATCGGTGGACCTTAAAATCATTTAAAATCGGGACTAAAACCGTTAAAATCGTAAAATAGTACCGAAATCGGGATTTTGATCGTAAGAGAACAAAATAGGTGGTTTGAGCAAATTTAAAATAAGTATAACTGTTTCAGCGGAAAGGGCAATGGAATCTTCTCGGATATTTTTCTATTAGAAAAATATTCAAAAATAATAAAAATAACCAAATTAGGGTTCGGTTAATCTCTTTCCCTTCACCCCATTTAACTTATTGGTAAAACACTTGTCCTAATATTGGAAGTATGTAAGAACTAACATCATTATTAACTAATTAATTTATTAATGAATATATTTGTACCAAGCCACTAATATTACTTATTTTATTGGAGTTCAATTATTTTTAGTTTTAAATCATACTTAGTAGACGATGTCGAAATATTACTTTGAGTTAAACAACCTAGACATAACATGAAAATAAGAGCCAAACCCATGAACTATATCCCTTCATCATGAATTATTTTGAGTTACACATTAAATAACAATTAAAATAGTGATTTTGGAACATTAATCTTGAGAATTATCTTATGGAAAAAAAATCTTATGAATTATCATTTTAAATTCTATGTGTCTTTGTGATATTAATAATTTACCTTATTAATATTCTTATATGCTATGTTCTATATGGTACTTAAAATCCTACGATTTTACGATTCGATTATACGATTTTGATTTTACCACAGTTTTCGATTTTAGGTAAAATCTCGATTTTAACTGCTTTGCCCATCGCAGCCTCTCCAAATCTTCCTATTCTACTCGCCGGGTCATCTCCTCCACTACAAAATATCTCCTCATGTACTCAAAGTTCTCACTGAAACCTAATATCTACAACTTAGGCGCAGAGGGAGCAACCGATGGATTGTAGCGACCCCCACTATTTTGATAGCTAATCAAGAAGAGCGCGTTTGTTTAGTTGTATGGTGATTCACTTAATTAACAATTTTTATTCCGTTGACAGCCTCCTCTCCGCAATTGTATTGTATTCACGAAGATCTGAAGGCGCAAGTGCAACAGGTCCAGGGGTAAACAATATGTATAAAGCGTTGGCCAAATTGAATTGAGTCATTCTACTTGGAATATGAAGATTTTTGCTTAATTGCTTTGGTTCGTGATGCAACTATGTTATGTTTGAAGGTAGACCAACGCAAACAACAGCACAGCTCCAGGGCTATTCTGTACATTAGGTAGTTGGGGCATTAATTGATAATTATTTGGGATTATTCCTACAAGTACATAATTTGGAACGTGCCTTTATATTGCATTGATTAATAGTTGTTTGAGATTTTTCAAATGAGTGATTTGACATGTTAAACTCTCTTATTTTTGAAAATGGAGTCTTCGAAGTGGAATATGAAGATTTTGGATTAAGCTTGGTTTCGTAACGCCCTTATGGGTGTTTATTATCTAAAATGCAGCTGTCTTTCAAAGTGCCCGTTGCAAATGGCAAGTCAGGATACAACGATGGTACCGGTACACGTTTATATCATTAGTAGGTAGCAGATTGTGTCCATTCTACTATATCATTTAGCTAAATACTTAGTTGTTCTTTTCAACTAAAAATTATGCTTAAATGCTGTGATTGGCCTCAGAAATGTATGTCTTTGTATTAACTGTTAATGATTGTGAGTTTTGGTTTAATGGTGAAAAGTCCATTTATTTAGAAGTCTAAATTGGGCAAACCTATTGGACAATAGGAATGCCATACATTCGTGTCGTGGGAGGTTTGTTTGATGTCTCAGGGTGTTAGATTTTTAAGAAGGTTGTTTGTTGTGGCAGAGAGTCCCTAAAGCTAGCGAGGTATTCCTATGTGGGCTTTTTCTTTGTTTGACTTTTTCTCGCATTTTTTCTTATCTCTTTTTCTATTTTTGGTTTTTGTGTGCTACCTTCAGTTGCTACGTCTTCATTTGTGAGCCATCTATACTTTTCTTATTCAGTGCCTAAAAATCATATATACTCGATTGCATAGTAGTTACTAATAGATACATTTATACCAATAGAGAGATTTTAAGTTTTATCAGTTGTTAGTTTTAATATTTACTTACATTGGTTGTTTATGTAGTTTTCTTTGTAATATTTCTCATTATACAACTAATTACTATGGCTACGTAGTTGTATAAGTGGGGGTTGGACATGATAGTTCTTAGAAGCATCAATACTTGAAGGTTATTATAATGACCAAATTCTAAAGTTATGGTTTGCCTTCAACTTGCTTGGAGCATTTCAATTATGCATCAATTGTTCTCTCTGTGTAGTTAACTCTCAGACAAATCGAAAATCTTGCTGATATGTGCTTGATTGTAGTTAAATTTAGGGTTCTACTGCATTGTTGCTTTACTCTTTTTTCGTGGTTGAGTCTGCTTCAAAAAATTTAGTTTGATTTTAGAAAATTTTGCTTCTGCAGTCCTGTCTTGCCACCAACGCGTTCAATAGATGGAGACGGGAGAGGCGAAGGCTATTTTTGTGTTGTTGTTGCTGGTTTAGGGATCGGTTTGTGAAGAAGAGGGAGAAGAGAGGGGGAAAGGGAAATGCATGAGAGGGGGATAACTCTTTTCTCCGACAAAAATGGAGTGAAGAAAGGAATTATGATCAATAAGAATATGGTTATCTTACATAACGGTCTCTATTCTGTTTGAATTGAGCTTGAGAGGCAGTGATAAGGACGAGTTGCAACCAATTCATAGTGAGAAGAGAGCTATGAACTGTGATCATGTCTTATTTCAAGTTAGAAGGTAGTTTCAGTATAAGGATTATTTAATTTGACAAGTTGTTTCGTCCATGATTCTTGGTAGTTTCAGTGCCATTCTAGCCAATGTTTAGTCTGTAATTTTTGAGAATTGATGTGCGAGTAATGACTTTCACTTAGCTTCAACTATTATGTGTGTATTTATTGGCACGTGATAGAATTCTCTTTTCCTTTTCATTGAATTCATTTTCATACTCTAATTGTATTATTTTTACATAGGCAAATCATGCTCGAGATGGCAACTCGCTGTTATGGCTGGTGCAAGGAATGAAGCCATCATTAGAATTCAGACCGACAACTGGGAGGGATGCCCAGGACTAATTCAATGATGATTGATGATGGTATAATAAAAACTGCAGTCTGCATCAGCACCAATTTATAGGCCTAAGTAAAGGTATTCAACCCAGAACTCTGCTTAGCGCTAAAAATTGCCCTCACCCAACCTTAATCCTGTTTGACCCACTTCTGAAGAGTCAAGATATATGACTAATCCTTCCCGTTCGTATTTTCTTATTGACTCTTTCTGACCCTGTAGGTTGGGGCGGGTCGGGAAGAATTGGATTAGTGGGTCGGTCCTAATCAAGTGGAATCTCAATCCCTTCACTCTCACTTGCTTTCTCTCCCATTCCACAAGTGGGTAACATACAGTAATCCGACCAACGGGTCGGGTAATAAGCTAGTTATGTGTAGATAGATAAACCGCCCACTTCAAGCCATGTGTCAAAGAGGTTCGTTTCCAAAACCCAATTCGTAATGACCGGGCTTCTTGCCCAGGGAAGATCTTCCATTTGGGCCCGTATCCATAAACACGGCCCGCCGCCCCAATCCAAACATTCCTAATCTTACCCCCTAACCACGCCGCGACTTCAATTCCTCGATCAGATCCCCCAAATCAGCGTGCGAAGACCCTCCTTCCTCCACCGCTCTCCTCGCCGTCTCTCCCAAATCCTTCGCCCTCCGCCGCATCTCCGCCACCTCTTCATCCCCCGTCGACATAATCCTCCTCACAGCTCTCTCCACCTTCCCGCTCTCCACCGTCGCCCCGTAAACCGCCGCCTGCTCCGCCCCAACCCCTACCCCGATCCCCACCACCTCCGTCACCAGCTTCTCGTTGTAGAACTGCTCCGCCGACACCGGCCACGTCACCATCGGCAGCCCCGCCGCGATCCCCTCCAGCGTCGAGTTCCACCCGCAGTGCGTCACGAACGCCCCCACCGCCTCGTGCTCCAGAATCAGAACCTGCGGGGCCCACCCGCGGATCACCATCCCTCTCCCTTCCGTCCTCGCCTCGAATCCCTCCGGCAGCTCGCCGCCCCTGACCACCCAGACGAAATCCCGACCGGACGCCTCGATCCCGATCGCGATTTCCCTCATCTGCTCCGCCCCGAAATTGGCCACGCTGCCGAAGCAGATGTAAACGACGGCGTTTTGCTCCTTGGCGTCGAGCCATTTCCAGATCTGGTGGTCCTGGTCAACGACGGCTTGCCTTCCTCCTCCTCCTCCTCCTCGGCTCGCTTTATCGTCCACGTCAGCATTTGCGAGCGAAACGGGCCCCACGTGCCAGGCCTTCCTGCCTAAAACGGTCCCGTAGTGGTCCACGTAGGCCGGCTCCAGCTCGTAGAAGCTATTGACCAAGGTTCCGTATCCACCGGAGTTCGCCTCCCTGACCCTCCTGAAAAACTCCGACATGAAATCGCTCTCGCCTCCCTGTCGCTTCGTCAGCCGGATTTCGTGGGGCAGCCCCGGGAGCACGAACGGATCGGTATCCGACGCCACGCGGTTGTACGGCTGGTGGGCCGCCACGGCGGCCATGGCCGACAGAGCGAAGAATCCGGTGCCGTGGAACAGCAGCCTGGGGACGCCGAATCTGGCCGCGGAGTCGGTGGACCAAGGGAAGAACATGTCGGCGACGAGGCAGTCGGGCCGGTCGTGGTCGAGGAGCTTCTCGAGGGGTTCCCGGAGGAGCGTGGTGGCGAGGAAGAATTTGGACATGGCTTCCCGGCCTAGATTCCGGGAGGTGATGAAGTCGACGTTCTCGCATCCAGCCGGCAGTCCGACCTCGGCTGCCGGGAAGTCGAGGGTACGGATGCGGATCTCTGGGTGGGTTTTGATGGTTTTGGAGAAAAGAGGGGCGTTTAGCGGGGTGGTGACGATGGTGGCGGTGACGCCTCGGGAAGCGAAGAGCTTGGCCATGTCGACGGCCGGTATCATGTGGCCGTGCGCCATGAACGGGAAGAAGTAGACGTGAAGTTGCTGGCGGCTGGCCATTTCGTTCTTTTGGGGAGATCGGAGGGGAGAAGGAAGTGAAATTGCCTTGGCGAGATTGTTGGGATATATATATATATATAATGCTTTATTACAGTGAGATGATAGCTCATTAGTTGCTTCTCATCACGGCTCTCTCGATGGACTGTTTCCTTTTGATTTTTCCACTTCCGTGTTGCGTTTTTTTTGTTCCTGTGAATTTTGTATGAGGGTTTTAGAAATGCAGTACCCTTAGAGAAGAAGGGCTGCATGAGATTGTATATATACCTCTGTTTACAAACCAATAACAGTGTTTTGCCACATGTCAGAGAGACATTGGCTATTACAAAACAGTCTTACTGTTAATTAACGGCTAGTACAGCATTAAGTAAAACGACAGTGTGTTTTACTTTTTCTTCCTTTCTTTTTTCAATCCGACATCGTTTCCTCCTTTCTTCATAGCTGCTGCGAATCCTTCTTGGTCTCGGATTCTTCATCTGCTACTCCTCCTCACTTCTTCTTCAGTCAACACCCCCCTTCAAGTTGTGGATATCATCCTGATTCCCAACTTGTCCAGTAGTTCTTTCAGCCTCACCCTGTGCACTGCCTTCGTGAACAAATATGCAAGCTGGTTCACAGTACTAACATGCTGCAACTTGATTAATCCCAACTTAATCCTTTCTCTTGTAACATGGATGTCTATCTCTATGTGTTTCGTTCTTTCATGGAACACAGGGTTCTCTGCAATATGTATTGCTGAACGATTATCACAATAAATCGAGATTGGTAGTGGTACCTGCACACTCATTTCTGCCAGCAAACTTCTTAACCATTGCACCTCACAAGACAATAGAGCTAATGCTCTATATTCAGCCTCTGATGATGACCTCGAAACAGTGTTCTGCTTCTTTGTTCTCCAAGTTAGAAGTGAGCTTCCAAGGAATGTACAGTATCCTATAGTTGATCTTCTTGTTTCAGGGCAACTAGCCCAATCTGAGTCACAGAAACCCACAAGTTTCAGATCTGCTTTGCTGCTGAAGTAAATCCCTTGTCCAGGTGAACTTTTTAAGTATCTGAGTACTCTGTAGGCTGCTTGTAGATGATCACTATGGGGGTCCTTCTGAAATTGACAAAGTTGCTGAACTGAGTATGTCAAATCTGGTCTGGTGATGGTAATGTAGTGCAACCTCCCAACCAGTCTCCTGTATGATTCTGGATCTTCAAGTCTAGTTCCCTGAGTTGGTGTCAACCTGATCTTTGGATCTGCAGGTGACAAACAACCCTTTGCATCAACATATCCAGTGTCCTGTAACAAATCCATACAGTATTTTCTTTGGCAAACTGAAAGTCCCTCTGCATTTCTTGTTACTTCAAGTCCAAGAAAATATTTTAGAGGTCCCAATAACTTCACTTTAAACTCTCTGCTCAATGACTTCTTCACCTGTTCAATATCAGTTGGTGCATCACCACCCACAATAATGTCATCTACATATACCAACACTATCACAATCCTCCCTCTGATCCATTTAGTGAACATAGAATGATCTGAATTTGATTGTGAAAAGCCACTCTTCAAAAGGAATCCAGTAAGCTTGGCAAACCATTGCCTAGAAGCTTGCTTCAACCCATACAAAGATTTCTTCAACCTGCAAGCAATTTGTCCTTCTTTTCCCTGCAAAGCAGCTGGTATTTCAATGCCCTCAGGAACCTTCATATAAACCTCTTCTTCTAGGTCTCCTTGTAAGAAAGCATTAGAAACATCCATTTGATCTAAAGTCCAATTCTTAACTGCTGCTATTGCTAACAAAGCTTTTACTGTGTTTATTTTAGCAACAGGAGAATATGTATCCAAGAAGTCTATTCCATACACCTGTGTATAACCTTTAGCCACCAATCTGGCTTTATACCTTTCCACAGCTCCATCTGGTTTCAGTTTTATCTTGAAAACCCATTTATAACCTATCATCCTCTTTCCTGCAGGTAACAACACTATCTCCCATGTTTGATTTTCATCCAAAGCTCCTATTTCAGCTTCCACTGCTCTTTTCCACTCAATAAACTTCACTGCTTCTGCATAAGATCTTGGTTCCATCTGTGCCAAAACACTCAATGCATACTTCCTGTCAACTTGATTAAGTTGATCCACATGTAAACAGATTGGATATCTGCTTACATTTGCCACAGAACCAAAACCACCAAAAGTCAACCTGGGATCAAGTTCACAATCAGCATACTTAGCTGGAAGCTGATGCTGTCTAGGTGGCCTGCCAATTGGTTCCTCATAGTCTGCTTGAGGTTCCAATTCAGGATCATGTTCACCATAAGAAGCAGAAGAAAAATCACCATGTACTGGAGACTCTGTGATGTTTTCAACTGAAGAAGGAAGGTCAACTGTTTCAGAGGGCTTCCCCCCATCATCAGAGGGTGTAGGAAAAGTAGGATGTATGTCTGGTGAGGAAGAAGGTACTTGAATTGGTGGAGAAGGTGTAACAGGTGTATGTGATGGAAAGACTATTGGAGATTCTGTAGAGGGTTCTGAGGAGTCATGCCTAAAGGGTAGTATAGTTTCATGAAACACTACATCCCTAGAGACAAAGACTCTACGATCTTGTAGATCTAAGAGCTTGTAGCCCTTAATGCCTGGTGGTATGCCTAAGAATATACACTGTCGAGCTCTTGCATTAAACTTTGTCCTAGCATGACTCAGTGTACTGGCATAGCAAAGGCTACCAAAAACTTTCAAATGTCCAAGGAAAGGAGGTTTACTGTATAAGATTTCATAAGGAGATCTGTTTTGCAATACTGGAGTAGGTAGTCTGTTAATGATGTAGACTGAGTGAAGCACACAGTCACTCCAGAATTTCAGTGGGATCCCTGATTGAAATCTTAATGAACGAGCAACATTTAGTATATGTTGATGTTTCCTCTCCACCCTAGCATTCTGTTGTGGGGTTTCCACACAAGACATTTGATGCTCAATGCCATTTTCCATATAAAACTCACACATATTAAACTCCTGGCCCTGATCACTTCTTACTACCTTGACTGTCTTCCCAAATTGGTTTTTAACTAGTTGACAAAACCCTTTAAGTAACTCCCTGGTTTCACCTTTGTGTTTCATTAAAAACACCCAAACTGCTCTAGAGTAATCATCCACAACAGTAAGAAAGTAAGCATAACCATCATAGGAGAGAACAGACAAAGGGCCCCAAATGTCAACATGTATCAGTTGGAACAAATCACTTGCAGTACTAGTGCTAACAGGGAATGGAAGGCGTTTGTGTTTAGAAAAATGGCAAACATCACAATGGGAAACTTTAGAACTAGTTACAGTGGAATCAGTTTGCTGTAACAAAGAAATCCTATCACTACTAGAGTGGCCTAGTCTCCAATGCCAGAGGTCAAACTGGTGAGCATTGAAGTTGAAGGTGGTGGCTGCTTGAGGAAGTGTAGGTGGTTGCATTTGGTCTTGTGTTGGTTGGAAAGAAAGCTGGTACAGACCTCTAGACTCTTTGGCTAAACCAATCTTCCTCTTGCTTAGAAGGTCCTGGATATAACATGAATCAGAATGAAAGTGTAAGGCTAGAGGAGAATCTCTGGTGAGCTTACTAACTGAAACCAGATTGAAAGAAAAGCTGGGAACTAGAAGGACATTGTACAAGTACATTCCAGATGGTAACTTCACTGTTCCTATATGTGTAACTAGAACCTTGGTTGTATTAGGGAGATACACATAAGTATTGACAACTGGTTGATACTCAGTGAACAAAGCCAAGGAACAAGATATATGATCTGAAGCTCCTGTATCTAGAATCCAGAAATGCACTATGTTGGTATTGGTAAGGGTGTTATGAGTGGAAAGCACATAATTACCTGAGTAATTTGGGAAAGGTGGAAGGTATTGAGAAACTGAATAAGCATTGTGGTGAATAGAAGGTGATGGTGGAGGTGAATTGGCTATGTTAGTACTAGACTGCATCATGAACCTCAGCCTATTCATCTCCTCAGGTGTAAAACCTACCACTGACTTAGCAGTACTCACAGGACTCCCATCTGATGTGTCTCCAGTCACACTTCCTTCTCCTTGTGACTCACCTGAACTTCCCTGTGATACAGAACCAGCAAATCTACTTGGTCCACGACCTTGTGTGTTACCTGCATTGTTACCATTCCTCTGTTCCTTGTCTTTCCTCTTCTTGGTCCAGCATTCATCAATGTTGTGACCAGTTCTCTTACAGAACTCACAATACTTCTTGCCTTGCTGCTTCTGCCCTGTATCCTGATCTGAATTGACAGCTAAAGCCACACTTTGAGATCTCTTACTGCTACCCCCCGCTTCTCCTTTCAACTTCTGTTCATGCTGCAACAGGTCATCCACAGCCTCAGATACACTTGGGAGAGGTTTTTGCATCAAGATTTGAGTCTTGACCACTTCATAATCTGGGTTCAAACCTCTAAGAAACCGGATTAAGTAATCTGTCTCTTGCCTTTCTGTGTATGCTGTCACTGCTGCACAAGGATTAGGATTTCCAGGTGCACAGTTACATGGAACAATTGGGCTAAATTGCATATACTCCTCCCAATAGCCTTTCATCTGGGTGTAGTACTGATTTATGGTAGAATTCCCCTGTTTGCAAGCTTGGATCTCATCTTCTAGGTTGATGATTTTGATAGCATTTGGTTTACCAAACCTTCTCTTCAATTCATCCCACAGAACTTTAGCATTGACATGATTCATGACAGATCTTCGCAGATCTTTGTGTAAAGAGTTCAGAATCCATGACAACACTGCTGTATTACAAGCATCCCATAGCAAATAACGATCATCTGCAGGTGGAGGCATTGGAATGCTTCCATCCACAAAACCCAGTTTGTGTTTCATCTTAAGACCCATAATTACTGACCTACTCCACATAGTGTAGTTCGTCCCATCAAATAGCTCAGATCCGATAGATTGATTGAGCGCTTCGTTTGGGTTCAGGTAGAATGGGTTTCCAAAAGTGATTACCTCGGTTCGTTGTTCT